CTAAGTATCGGAATACTGATCTGAGTTCTGCTGGACTAACTTGTAAATCTAAGTTAATTAGTGTTGGTTTGCTGTTCATGTTTTTTTGCTAACCAGCTGGATTTTTAAAGATATATTTCTGGCTTTGGAATGCTGCCTTCCTGCCTCCACTTTTGTGATAATGATGCTGCTAAAGCTGTCCCATGCCTATTGGCTGAATACCCCAAGCTTGTACTGTACCCTATAAAACCTCATGCGCACGTCTTGGAGGTGCTCAGAGCTTCGGAGCAGAAGCCCCTCTGAGCCCGCCGGCATAACACATCTGAGTACTCCAACCCTCCGAGTGGTGCTTGTTTCTTGGCTGGCCTGTCGTTTCCATAACAGAAGGAAAAGATTCTTTAAGAATCCTTTCAGGTGTGAAGGAGGAATTAGTCTTCACAAAGATCATGGTTTCTTTCACATTTCAACTCTCTAAGGCAAAGGCTATTTCTAATCTTTAGCTTTATAGATGACCCCTATTTACCTTCCTTACATAAAAATTCTAACAAAAGTAGTCACTGCCGTCTTCCACGAAGGCAAGCACCCACTCTGAGTCTATTAGATATTCTTAGCATAATGGGCCAGTGTCTCAGGTGGAAAAAAAAAAAAACAACTTTCAATTCCTTGGATGCGTAAATCAGATACCATGAATTAATATGCCTCCAAACCAAGCCATGATTTCAGTAGAAGCCTTGCCTCCCTTAAGATGCTTAAGGGTAATTATCACGAGACATTAAAGGTTTTTAGGATGAACACAGGACATTGGGTTACTTCAGGAAAAGAACTGGTAAGTGTGAATGGGGGTAAAAGAAAGGTATCAAATTTCAGGAGGAAGATCAAACAGAGGATTACAGAAATTTCTAGAAAGTTTAGCTGCAAATATGCAAGAGAAAGGCTATTGTTCAAGACACAGGAAACAGGGGGAAATGGTCACTGAAAGAGTTGCTGTATAAACTGCACCCTCTCCTAACAGTAACCATTCAGACTTTTAGAGGCATTCATGTTTCCAAAGGACTTCGACCTTTTTTTAAAATTCAATTTTGAATGCAGTTCAAAGGTCTTCTGAGTAATGAAGAATGTTGGCTTTTTACAAACCAAGGAAAGAGGATAACATCTGTGGTAAGCAGAATTCTAAAGAAGTCCTTCCAAGACCGCTTTCCCTTTGTTATTCAATCAAACCATTAATCTAAGAACTGCTGTGAAGGGATTATAAAGAGATGATTCTGGATAATCCTTTGGGGCTCAGTGTAATCACATGAGCCCTCAAAAGCAGAGCAGGAGGTAGTCGTCAAAGAGACGCAGCACAGTGGAGAGGACTGGATGTGCCTTCGCTCTGAGATGCACCTGCGCATGGACCCAGGAGCAGCTCTGGGAGATGGACGCGGGTGCCAGCTGACTGCCTGCAAAAAGCAGGGAGGTCCGGCCTATCCCTGTAAGGAGCTGGATTCTACCACCAACCTCAGGGAGCCTGAAAACAGACTTTGCCCCCAGAGTTTCCAGAAGGGAACACCGCCTACAGACCCTTTGATTTGGGCCGTATGAGACTCAAGGAGAGAAAGCAGCTAAGCCTATGGGACTTTTGAAACACAGGACTGTGAGGTAATAAATTTAAGGGGCTAGGTTTGTAATGATTTGTTATAGCATTTGTAGAACACGAATATAACATCTTCAGCCAAAATATCACTGGACTTGTATTTTAAGAAGCCTTAGCTAGTTCGGTCATTGCAGGAAAATTTCCCCAAAGAAACATATATGCCGCAGCTTTTATGTGTGTGATTTTGAAGGAGGATTAATAAAATGGCTGCACTTAGGCTAACAGATTGCTTGTTTTTATGCTTGCCCTTGAAACTGTCAACTGACCTGACTGACTGGTTGCTACTCACAGCTCCAGGCCCATTGTTAAAACTAAAGCTATTGATCTTACTGTTTCTACTTTATTCCAGTAATCAAAAGCTATAATCATGCTTGGTCTCTGAGTTGATCTTCAGGGAGAAAAGTCACAGAAATGTAACCTTACAAAGTAGGCTAAATACCAAGAAGACCACACCTTGAGATAAAGAGATCGAAAGAGTGACAACTGCTGGCCTCTACAGAATCGGTTGCCTGAAGTCATCCTGACACCATTCTAAGTCTGCTGAAGAGAAAATGATTCTGTTGCTTGCTATCAATGCTTTATTGTTTGAGCTATGGCTGTGTAACCACCCTACCCCATCTCCAAGATGGGTTCACAGTTTTGAAGGCACTAGCCTGCTATGAGTCCCCTTTGTCCGGCAAAGTAATAAAGCTGTCTCTTTTCTTCTAAGCTCCAAAATCCGGTCTCTGGGTTATTTGGCTCATCAGGGACAGGGGCCGATCTTTCAGCAACAATTTGACATGTTTAATAAATACTGATAGCAGGGTAGCAGTATATTTTTGTTATGATTTGTTATGATTCTAATGGGAACATAGCACAATGGCTAAGCACATGGGTTCTAATGGAAGCAGCCTAAAATACTGGCTAAGGACATATCCATGTCTGGAATATGATGCTATGTGTTCAAAGTCATCTGTAACTTCTTACTGTGTGCCCTTGGTGGGGAGTTGAGGGTGGGGGGAGGTGCAAATGAATTGATTTCTCTGTGTACCAGTTTTCTCACAGGGTTGATATAAGGATTAAATGTCATAACATATTGCCATCCTTACCATCCTTTTAAAAGTCACAACTAGCCTCTTCATCCCTCCATCATCGCTAACATCCTACATATATTTAACTTATGTATTTTGTTCATTGTCCCATCTCCTCCTATGCCTCTACTAGAAATTAAACTCTAAGAAGACAGGGATTTTTGTTTGTTCTGTCAATTCTGTGCCTTAGACTGAACAGTGACTGCTGCATGATGGTAATGAAATAAATATTTGTTGAATGAATGAATGAATGAATGAAAAGTGCTAGACACTTAAGTGCTATACATGTGTTACTTAGTATTATATTTATTATAAGTTTATTTCCATGATTAATTTTGGTAATTTTGGAAACACCCATTCCAAAAATAGAAAACCAAATATATTAATTGCACTATAATAAGGCTTTGTCACTTACCACCATCATCTAGGATCTGGGGATTATTTGGGTCATAGCTGGGGCTCACCCATGGATTCAGCTACTCTTATTCAGTTTCTGAAGGATTCTTGTCCCTATCACACTGCTGACACCAAAGGCCTCCTATTGGTTAAAAATCCTATGATCTTCATCCTATTTGATCTCTGGGGGGATCTGACACTGTGGTCTGTTTCCTCATTCTTGACTCTCACTTCCTTTAGGTGAGTAACCCAACTACTCCAAGTATTGGGTTCCTTATCTGAACATCATGGAAAAGACTGTTCCTCCTGGCATTGCTGTGAGGAGTAAGTAATCATTATGAAAGCATTTTGTAAAGTAGGAAGCACCTTTCAGATAGTGTAGATTATCATTACCTCTCAGCTGTGGTGTTCACTCTGAGCAGAAACGGTTTCATTTGGAAAAGAAATTATGTTAAAAATTTGAAAAGTCTTGGTTCCTAAATTTCTCCTTATGTTACAATTACATATTTCAAAATACATTTTCAGTAAAGAATAGTCCCTGTACCAGAAACTAACACAGCGTTGAAAATCAGCGACACTTCAATTGCAATAAATAAATAGATAAAGAAATAGTCCCTTACAATTGCCATTCCTGAAATAATTAAGTAGATTCCTTGCGGCATTTCACCTTCTTTGCAAATGACATCTCCGTAGTCAAAATAGGCAAGTTTGGCTCTTTCCTGAAAGAAAAAAAAGAGAAGAAAAGGAAAGAAAACAAGAATCAACACAAAGGCTTCATAGCCTACTTGTCTAAAGAGAAATAAGATTTTAAAGCTGAAAAGTAACATATAAATACAAACCATATTCTTTGGTTTGTTAATGAATTATAACGTGCTGACATACCTCGTTAACTTTTAGGGGGAAAAAAGGGACAAGCAAGCAAACTGTAGACCTTGGGGCGAGGACCAAGCACAGTGACTGTAGAAACGCCTGATAAATGCTGGGTGGCATACGTGTTTACAAGAAAATGCTATAATTAGGATCAAAGAGACAGGCACAGGGCAATCTGGGGGAAAAAAAAAACATTCAGAAAAACCGCAGGACCCTGTCATGGATGTCTAGGCAAGACTTTACAGAGGAAGGAACAGCTAAGCTGAGACCTGAAGGAAGAGTAACAGCCAGGATACGAGGAGGTGAAGATCACTGTAGGGCACAGAATTCAGTTTATGCGAAGACTCAGAAGCAAATAGAGTACCTGCATTGAGGGTAAATGCAGAATATTCAGCATGTCTCAGGCAGGGAGTGGTGGAGGCCAGGGCTGAAGTTACCACTGAGCATCACTAGGCTAAGTGTCCAGGGTTCACAATACTTTTAGGGATTCACAACATTTTAGTTTCTTTTAATATCAGAAGGAAATAAAAGAACTTTTAGGTAGAGGAAGATGCTTTAACAGTAAAATATCCATCTTTATACTAAAGCAATTAAAAGTATAATTTTTTGAGTGTTTTTTTTTTTTTTTTTTTACTGAGGAAGAGGCCCATGAAGGCAGGAGTGCCTAGGGCCCACGAAAGTCAGAATGCAGCGTGGGGGAACATTGCAGGGCTGGAGAGGTGAGCCACAGCCAGGTCTGCAGGGTCTCACAGGCACAGTAAAGAATGTGGGCTTTTCCCAAAACCAGGGGGAAAGAGTGTAGGCTTTTCCCAAAACCAGGGGAAAGCCACGGATGGGATTGTTATAGGAGAAACAGGAAAAACAGATTTGCATTTTACAGAGATGTGTAGGAAACGTATTTCCAAATCACTCACAGTGGTTATCTCTAAGCGTGGGGTGAGGAGTGAAAAGCTTTCACTTTTTACTTCTGAATTATTTGACAGCGTTGAAATAAGCATGGATGACTTCACAATATTTTTAGAAAGCTCACCTAGAGCCAATTTTCCAGCTTATGTATTATTCAGGCCTTGGTTTTCTACCATTTCCTTCAGGCTTATCTTTATAGACTGTTACCTTTTTAATTAACCATAGCAGCTGGAGGATGAAAGAAGGGAGGAGGAGTGAAAATTAACAGTCATGGCTGGGATGGAGACCAAGACTGAAATTAACGTCTACAGTAGCAGGTTGTCTGTTTTCTGTTTTGTTTACAAATGGATTTTAGTCATCCCCATAATTCCTGGGCAGTCCCTAATGAGAACAATGCCCATGTTTTCCCAATTTATTACATTTTTTAACCCCAGTGCAATCTGATTTAAATGGCTATTAAAAGCCAACATATTAAGGAAAAAGGTCATGTAAAGAGTGGAAGATGTCCGTAAGGGGAGAGAGAGAGTCCAACAGCTTTGCGTATGCCTGGCAGGTTAAGAAGGGGGAGAAGTTTGTGCTCTGGTTATAGACTCCCCTCAGGTGTATGGGAATCTTGAATTTATGGAGTTATCTTCTCAGTGTTTTTCCCAGTCCTCTCCCATTCATTTCAGGATGGTGAATTAGTTATACTTGTGAAAAGCATTATCTATAAAGAGCCTCTCTTTAAATTTTGTTTTAAAGTTGGATATTTTAAAAAACTGAACAGGATGTAGATTGTAATAAACACCCTTTAGGTATCTTCTTCCCAGTCCAGGCCCATCCGTCACCTCCCGCTTCCGTTTATTTGAGATCTGTTTTCCAGACTATCCCAGTGGCCCCTGCCCATCAGGTCTCCTTGTCCTCACAGCCACACGTGTGCTCCTCAAAGCTGGACATCTGACTCAAGCTAAGCCAGTTGGGTTTCTCTCTCTCAAGAATTTAAACGGAGAGACAAAGAGCCTGGCTGTTGAGAACTGAGTCATCATTGCCAAGTGTAAGAGGAAGGGTCCACAGATTCCTGCCACCTACCCCGAGATTGGCCTGACTCCCACCCTTAGCTTCTGTATACCACCACAGCATCCTTTCAAACAAAGCTCCCCCTTTGCTTAAACTAGTTCAAGTAGGGTTTTTTACTTTCAACCAAAGGAGTCTTAATTTAACTAAATTTGAAATCAATTTCAAAAGAAAAATTTAGAAATTTCTGGTATGAAGAAAACACTGGTATCTTGAAATCAGATATTCAAGGCTCAGCGGAAACTCCACTATGATCGCTGTCTTTCTAGAAACACAAGGAAAACCGCCCTCGTTATGGACAAACAGTTGCCTTATATATCTCCATGCCTAGATCACAAGGTATAGCACAACCAAATCTGTGCTAAAGCAAGAACCATTCTTCGTCACAGTGTCTCCCTGCTTCCAAAGATCTAACAGGTTTTAATAAGTTGAAAAAATATTATATACCCTAAAATTCCTACCATGCCATTTAAAACTAAAGCCACAAACTGGTGGTCCATGGGTCACATCCAGTCCACAGATGTATTTTGTTTGGCCTACATAGTATTTTTAAAATTCTGAATTGGTTGCCAAATTTTACAGATTTGGAATTTTCACATTAAAACTCAGATTTATGGATCCTCTTTTTTAAAATCTGACCTCTACATTATTAAATCTAATAGCCAGTTTTCAGTCTTCATCTTATTTGCTCTCTCAGCCTCATTTGACATAGTTGCTCACTTTCTCCTTCTTGGAATTCTTTCTTCACTTGGCATCTGAGATACTATTCTTTATTTCTCCCTTCTACCTGATGAACAATTCCTCAGATTTTTTTTTCTGGCTTTATTGAGATATAACTGACATACAGCACTATATAAGTTTAAGTTGTACACCATAATGACTGGATATACATATACTGCAAAATGAAAACCATAAAAAGTTAATATACATCATCTCATATAGTTACAAAAATTTTTTTCCTTGTGATAAGAACTTTTACAATCTACTCTCTTAGCAACTTTCAAATATACCATACAGTATGACTTTATAACTATAGCCATTATGTTGTATATTACAACCCCAGTATTTATTTATCTTATAACCTGGAAGTTTGTACCCTTTGACTCACTTCTCCCATTCACCCAGCTTCCACCTCCCACCTCTGGTAACCATAAATTTGATCTCTTTTTCTGTCCTCAATTATTTTTTGCTAATTCCTCCTCATCTTCCCACCTCTAAATGTTGGATAGCTCAGGACTCAATCCTTGGATGTCCATAATAATTCCTTAAGTTATCTCATCAAGTCTCAGGACCTTTACTATTAGCCCTGTGCTTACAACTCCAAAATGTCTACCTCCCTTGTGGCCTCGCACCTGAATGTCAGTCATGTATTTAACTGCTTACTCAACACCTCCACTTGGATGTCTAATAGCTTTCTCAAATTTAACTTATTCAGAATCAGACTCTTATCTCCCCCAAATAAGTCTTCTCTTCCCCATCTAAGTAGATAGTTACTCCATTTTCAGACTATTTTCTATTTTCAGACTAAAATCCTAGAAGTCATCATTTCTCTAGCACTCATTCCATCAGCATCAAAGCTCTCTCTTCAAGACGTTATCAAAAGTCTGATCACTTCTCACCATTTTCACTCATCCAAGGACCTATCATCTCATGCCTGCTTTACTGTAATCACTTCCTAACTGGTGTCTTTGGCTTGCCCTTGACCCCAGGCAGCCTGTTCCCAGCACATCAGCAGGCAATCATTTTAAAACGTCAGTTCGATCATGTCACTTCTGTGTTTAAAACTTCTCAATCCGTTTCCATTTAATTCAGAGTAAAAGCCAAAGTCCTTACAATGACCTAAAAAGTTCTCCAAACTCAGGTTCTCCACAACTGCTCTGGCTTCACTTCCTCCATCCATCACTGGTCCTGCCACAGGGGGCTTAGGGATGTTCCTTGGACACAGGAAGCACGCTCCACCTCAGGGCACTTCACTTGCCTGGAAGACTTCTCACCCAGATATCTACATGGTTCGCTCCCTCACTTCTTTTAGGACTTTTTCAACTGTCAACTTATCAGAGCAGTCTTCCCTAACCACCCATATCAAATAGCTGCCCAACCATATTCCCTTTTCTCGCCAGCATTTGTGATCTATCTGACAGACTATTTATTTACATATTGGTATGTTTAGTGTCCATCTCCATCCATATAGTATAAAGTCCATGAAAGCAGGGACTCTCATTTATTTTGTTCACTGTCACATCCCCAAACCTAGAATAGTCTATGGAGTGTAGAGGATATTCAGTAAGTATTTGTTGAAAGAGTACAAATTCCTATAGCAACACTCAGCTGACTTTAGACAGAGCATGAATTCTTGAATATACCATAGTCCTCACTGTTCCTTATTTATACTCTACCCAGATAGTTTTACTTTTATATTATCTGCCTTGCCGGTATAGTAATTTAAAAATGGAATTCAGACACTAAAAAAAAATATTTTCCAGAGTGTGCATCTGGAAGTCCAGAGGTCTACAACAGAAAATAAGATGGTACTGGTAATAATCAGGTAACATAGATAACTCATCCTAAGCTGACAGCAATTATTAAAAAAAAAAATCTTTTCCCTTTAGGCTGAAAATGAAATCTATTCTTCCGAGTTTTCCTGGGCCTCCATTTTGACTTACCCTTCATTGGCCATTACAGGATCCTTACTTTGGATAAGTTTGTTTTTTTTTTTAAATCTTGCATTAGGGAGTGGAACAAATGAAAAATAATTATCATTGAATCTGAGCCAGAATAGAAGACAAAATATTTACCTTGAAGAACTCAATGAGAACATCGTTATTTTCTAGCCAAATGATATTATTAAGATATTTGTCAGGAGTAGGGGGTGGGATTGCCATTGGAAAGTTATTCAGTGCTTTTATTTTTGCAAGAAGTACCTAAAAACACAATCAAAATAATGGTGATCAATTCCATAATAGAAAAGGGACATTAGGTAAAAATAAATAAATACCTAAATAAGATACTGTTATGCAAATTTAATCATGATTTTGACTCAGAGCTTCTCTCATCTAATTTTTTTATATTTTATTTTTTCTGATTTAAGTAGAGTTGATTTACAATGTTGTGTTAGTTTCAGGTATATAGTAAAGTGATTCAGTTTTGTACATATGTATTCTTTTTCAGATTCTTTTCTGTAATAGATTATTACAAGATATTGAATATAGTTCCCTGTGCTATACAGTAGGTCCTTGTTATTTATCTATTTTATATATAGTAGTGTGGACCCTTTAATCCTAAACTCCTAATTTATCCCTTCCTCCCCTCTTTCCCCTTTGGTAACCACAAGTTTGTTTTCTATGTCTGTGAGTCTGTTTCTGTTTTGTAAATAAGTTCATTTGTATTATTTTTTAGATTCCACATGTAAGTGATATTATATAATGTTTATCTTTTTCTGTCTGACTTACTTCACTTAGTATGATAAACTCTAGCTCCATTTATGTTCCTGCAAATGGCAAGATTTCATTCTTTTCTATGGCTAAGTAATACTCCATTTTACATATATATATAATATACATATACCACATTTTCTTTTTCTTTTTTTTTTACACATATTCTTTCTCCATTCATCTGTTGATGGACACTTAGGTTGCTTGTATGTCTTGGCTATTGTAAATAATGCTGCTATGAACATTGGGGTGTTCAAATTAGAGTTTCCATCTTTTCCAAATATATGCCCAGGAGTAGAACTGCTGGATCATATATATGGTAGCTCTATTTTCAGTTTTTAAAGGAACCTCCATACTGTTCTCTGTAGTGGCTGCGCCAATTTACATTCCCACTAAAAGTGTAGGAGGGTTCCCTTTTCTCCAAACCCTCTTCAGAATGTATTATTTGTAGACTTTTTGATGATGCCCATTCTAACTGGTCTCTCATCCTTTAAATTGTCCTGTGACCTTTTTTGCCCCTATTCTCCCCTTATTACTATTTTCACTGATATATTAACTCATATTGAATTTATCATCTTTACAATTCAATTAGCAGTTGTATTCTACTCTGTCTTAATCTCAAATTGTCTAAACTTCACAGTTGATTCCTGTATGATTTAATGCCAGGTTATCTCAAATTTTTTTCTTCATGTGTATGATTTGCTTCCCTAAATTCTTCTAATTTTGGAGCATATAGTTTTAGTTTTGTGGCCTCTGAAAAGCCTTCTCTGGCTTCCCCCACCAGTAAGAGATAATCTCTTATTTCCCTTTTTCCCACGGTATCTCTTACAAATCTCCCTTATGGAACTCATTACATTATATGTAGTATCATTATTTTTACTTATATGTTGTATGTAACTTTTGTTGATTGGCTGAATAAATGACTAAATGAAATAATGAGCAGAGCCCATGGCCTTTGGGGTCAGTGATGTGCTCATTAAGTATCCCAATCTCCTCCAGAGTCCATGGCATAAGTAGGTATTCAACATACATTTACTCAATTAAATTGACTAGACTTACCTAGTTCCTTATGACCTGGGATTGATAATCATATCTCTTTGGATGAAAACTAGGCAATTAGTAGGCTTTCAATAAATAACTATTGGAGGATTACCATTATCTTTCCAAACAAACCTGTAGTGAAAAAAACGATCCCCTCTTTTCATAAGGGGTATTATTTATTTATTTTGATGGGCATCATTCAACTGAATCTTATGTAATCTTCAAATTGATGAAAACACACAAAAATACAAAACACCATGTGCACAGAGGTGTAACATGAAGAATACTGTAAAGCATCCCCTTTTGTCCCTCTGACAGACACTAAGGAGAAATTATATTATGCATTTAGTCCTTTGCCATGATATTATAGAGACAAAAGAGGTAGAGCTATAAAGGGGAAAGCTGGCCTGTCCCACATCCACTTCCCTCCCTTCTGGGGCCATGGAGACGGAACTATGTCCAGAGAATGCCCAGAAGCACAGTCCATGGTGGCCTCTGACTGAAAGGTGCCAGTGACAAGAAAAAGCACATGACACACAGCAGTGGCTTATCATTAGGAAAACAGGCAGGATATGGGCCCAGAACTTGAATTTTCCTTCTTTATGCTAGGAAGCAGAAAGACTTTTGAACAGGAAAGAAAGAACATTCCAATCTGCACAATATGCAGGCTAGATTGTGGATGTAATAGAGTGATGGGATTAAACATTC